GGGTTAACGGGGGGAGGGAATAGGGGGGATCCAGGGGAGATTGGAGGGGAACCTGGAGAGGGGAGGAATCCAGGGGAGACTGGGGGGAACCAGGGGGAAGGGGGTTGGAGGGATATTCAGGAAAGATGGGGGAGGAACCATGGGGAAGGAGATGGTGGGATTTAAGGAAGATTGGGGGAAACAGGGGAAGGGGATGGTGGAATTTAGGGAAGACTGAGGTGAAGAAAATTGCAGGGAATCCAGGGGAAGTGGGCAGTGCTAAGGGAAAGGAGAAGGGGGAAATTTAGGGAAGACTCGAGAGAGGGGAACAGGGGGAAGGGGGTTTTGTGGGATCCAGAGCAGATGAGCAATACACGGGGTGGGGGGCAGCACTGGTGAAAAAGAAGTAGGGGGGATCCAGGGGAGATGAGTCAAAACAAAGGGTGGTGAGGGAAGGAGCTGTGGGGGATCCAGGCAAGATGGGAGAACAATGGAGAGATGGGGGGAAGAAGGCAGGTGGGAAGGAAAGAAGGGGATCAGGGGAAAGGGGACATGGGGCACCCAGGGAGATGGGTCAGGACGTGGGGGATGGAGGAAGGAGTTACGCGGGATTCAGGGAGGTGGGGTAGGAGATGATGGGGGCTGAGAGTGAAGGAGCTGTGGGGATGTAGTGGGACAAGGGCAAGATGTAGGAGGCATCCAGGGAGAGGGGGGCTGGAGAGGGGGTCCCTGGCATTGGCAGTAGATAGGGATTACATGGGAAGTGCTGGAGAAGAGGATGTGATGAGCAGGAGCTTGAGCCAGGGCACTTTCCTGCTGTATGGAGGGCAAGACTGCTCTAGCTGCAGATCTTCCCAGTAAAACACTCACTGGGACTCCACTCTTACTTACATCCCTGCACTGTGTATTGGAAATAGCGTCAGAAGACAAGATTCAGGAAATAATGATGGCCTTGGTCAGCTCAACTCAGCAGGGATGAGGTGCCAAGCTGTCAGCGCTGAGGTGCCTGGCCTCTGCTCTGCTGATGACTTGTTTTGTGAGTGTGGCCCAGAAATTGTTCCCTTCTGTCTCAGTTTCTCCATCAGTAAAGCAGATTCATAGTGGAGTTTCAGCAGCGACAGTGTGGTTTCGAAGATGAGCAAAATGATGAAGGCAAGAGATGGCTTTTATGTCGGGGTCCATTTTCTTTTTGTCTTGCTGACTTGCTCAGTGACATTGGGCATGTCCTTTCATCTTGTGGAACCTCACTGCCCTCCTCTAAAACAGAGCAAGGCTTGCCTTCCTCTGAGAAATCTGGCAATATCCTTGCTCAAAAGTCCAAAGCAGTAATAGCAGGTTTGAGCAGTAGTTACTAGAACTTGTTTATTCCCATGATGCGCTTCGTACAAGCACGTTCCCTGCACTTTGAAGTTATATTAGGTGCATTTCTTTTTCTTATTGCAAGGTCAGTGGTAAAACACAATGGCTTGGATTACCGGAGGTGTGGGCTGCGTTGTCGTGCTGGCAGCGCCTCCAGGGTTGTGGAGCTCTGTATCTGCTGTCACATTGAGATACCCCATTTGATCTCAGGGGTGGCTTCCTGCATCTGCTAGTAGTTGAGCTAGTGCAGCATAACGCCTTGCCCACTGCCACCTGAGGTGTGGTGGACAGGATTGGAGAGGATGTACGTGCTCCTGCTTGCAAAATAGAAAGCATTTTGTTTAAATCACCTTCATCATGGTTTAAGATGTGTTTTACTTTGCGGTCACAGTGGACCAGGAATGTCTGTGCTTCTTAGCTCACCTGACAAGCGGTACCTCACTGTGCCGTTGGAGCTCACAATTGAATGTCCCTTGACCAGATTGGTTTGGTCATCAAGGCAAGGAAGCGGTTATTTTCTGTTTAAATTTTTTATGGCGGAATAAGGTGTGTGGTTGCTTTATAGCATTTTTACAGCAGAAAAAGAAAACCATGCTCCTGTAGAGATGGCTCTTCTTTTAGCTGGAAGTAAGTATTGTGATTTTAGTGCAGGATTTATAATACCTGCAGCAGCCACAAATTTTCTTGTTACATAGCTGATAGCTCTCTTAGCAAGCTTTCTATCTTAACAGTCTCTTGTCAATTCTTCCTTATTTCAGCCTGAAGTTCAGTTAGATGAAGCGGTAACTTCCTGTCCTCTAAGAAGCACGTTGTACTTTGTGTGATGGCTGACTGTCTCTGGAAATTTTTGGCCATCGGATTAAACAGTGCCTTTGAATCACAGATTTTTTGAATGTCACAGTCCCAGCTATAAACTGTGCTCACATGGGATCAGCTTTGTGTCTGCTTGTGAGAGCAGTGGGAGCTGAGCTCAGGTCTCCACGGTCCTTGGCAAGTATGTTGGCCATTGGAGTGTCCTTCTGGAGATGAGGTTGCCCATTGCTGTTCATAGGATGGTCTTTGATCTTTTCCATTTAAGTCTTCCTGGATTGATAATCCCCAAGTTTCACCTCAGAATGTGGCAACTGGATTATCCTGGGTGCTGTTTTGCAATGTATGTTTTAGCGTAGGGTGACCGGATTTATTTTACAGATTTCTTTTCCAGATTCTGGGTAACCATTAGCTCATTCGCTTTGCGTTACTATTCTTGTCTGCCAGCCTTGTTCTGGGCAGTATTGTTTGTGTACTGACACATGCCATAATACAAATGAATGGCTGCAGTTCTTTTCTCTGAGAAATGTCTTACTTCTCGGAGACTGTGGCTCTTAGTGATGTATTAAATAAAGAAATAGAGAGAGGACAGATAATTCTTCCTGCCGTCTTGCCCCATCCCAGAATGTTAATGGCACAGAAGGAAAGTGGTAGATCAGTGTCTGCGTGGCTGAAGAGGACTTCGCATTGGACCATTTCCACCCTGCTTGGCATGATGTGCTGTACTTGGTTCTTTTAATAGACTGGCATCTGATTTGCCTCCTCTATGGTTCTGATGTGCTGTCTGAAAGCAACGTTTAAACCCAGCAGGTATAAAAACGGGTATTGGGACAAAATTTGGCCTCTTAACTTCTAAGTAAAATTCAGCCCATGGTCTCAAGCCACCCAAGGCACAAATATTAAAACGCAATTTAGCCAGTGCGTGGTCTATAGCACCTGTGTTGATGTTTCCTAACATTTTTGAAGTGAGGCTGGCCCCTGTACCTTTTTGTCCTCACTGTGTCCCCTTTCCTCACCACTGCGGACACAGGATCCTTGCAGGCCATCACTGGCTGTCACAGATTCTTCTTTACTCCTGCCTCCGCCTCCTCCAGCAGCACCATGGAGCTGGTGCTGATAAGAAGACATTTTAGTGTGGGGTCTGCCTTCTGCCTTACGGCTCAGGAATCCACATCCTAAAAGATAAACCTTGCTGCTTTCAAGTCACCAACTCTCTGTGTCTTTATGAACCTTTAAAAAGTAGCAGAAGCAACCGGTATCTTCATGTGCCCATCCCTGACTGTTGTAGGAAACAGGGTTGTATGGGAGATGCCCTTCGGGATGCCTCCCACCCTGTGCTCGAGGGGAAGGTGAAATACCCTCCAGTATCACTGCTCGCATAGTCCCTGGAAGGAAACTCTTCTGTACTTCACATTTGGCAGGCATTTGAGTCCTGGTGCATGTGAGTAGGCTTTCCTTAACTGCTTGATCACATTTCTTGCCCACCGATACTGTTGGCAGCCAAATAGCTGTCTGTTTGCTGGCAACTTGGAAAGGGGGTTCTGGCAACTGCTTTTTGAGTAGTTCCTGTCATTTCATGGGTGTCATGCTGCACAGTATCAAGATGCATTTCTGTCACTGCTGAACTCAGGAGGATTCTTAGATGAGGTTTTGTGACCCTTTTTTTTAGGTATAAAAAAAATAGAGGCTTGTTTGGCATGTGAGCTACTGAGCAGTGAGAGAACCTGGACCATGTGCCCATAAAGGAATCTGAATTGAGTAAGTGGCAGGAGAAGGAGTCAGTGTTGAGCCTTCGAATACAGTTAACTTGCACATGAGGATTTGGACACGCGGGTTCACACCTGCACGTGCAACATCCCACCCTACGGGCTGACCATGTCCTTGGATGCAGGTGTCGACTGCTTGTAGTCACTGTAAAATCATTTCCCACCTTGAGGTGTCAGTGACATTGTGAGCTTGTATCAGACACACAGCGGCTGCTGATTCGGTGCACAGCGAACACGTTTTTACAGCTATTTTGCAGATGTAGAGACTGCCTGTTTTGGGAATAGAAGATGATAGATTTCCTATACTTCTCTCTGGGAATTAAATGAATCAGCAGTTCCCCTTTCTTCTGGTCACCCTTCTGCATAGGAAACAAATCAGTTCCCTGTGAGCCACACTGTTCGTTTCCTGCTGAGGGTCTTTGAGAGATACGGTGACAGGACATTAATCACAGGTTGCAATAAGGATATGTGTATTGCCTGCTGCTTTTGGAGATCTATTTTGGGGAAACTAAATGTGTATGTGGGGCTTTTTTTTTTCTCCCCCTGCCAGTACACTGTGAGCTTGGATGAATGCTTCATACTCACTGCCTTTTACCTCTAAACCAAAAAGCATTTTACTCGCTTGCCTTACTTGCTGTTGAGGGTATTAAGTTGTTAGAGTTTGCAAAGGACCTTCAGGCCATGTGAGAAAGATGCTAGTGAGCAGAAGTGGCTGTGGATATCAAGGTTGGTAGCAGACTTGTGTGTGCTTCTTACTCTATTCTTGGTTTTCTTCATGATTATTTAGGAAGAAGTTGGTTCAGCTCTGTGGTGTTTTGATCTCCCAAGCCATTGTGTAAGACAGTCCTATTCCCTACGCTTCTCTTCTTCTGTCGGGTTCTGTGGTTTACTGAAGACAAATGAGATTTCCAGTTATCCTTGGATGAAAGGCTTCCCGTGACATAGCACGAGATGGGACATTTTCTCTTCGAGGTCCTGAATGTTCTGGGTTTTTTTCAGGGAGGTTCCTTTTGGTGTGGTGGGTTTGTGAAAGGAGATTTGCCTTGCTAGTAAGGGGCTGGTATATGAAACCGTCGGTTACTTTACAGTAATATCTGTAGTTTTCAAGGAAGTGGTGGTGGTTTCAACCTACCTCCTTAGCATATGGTTTTGCATACTCTTGCTCGCAAGTGCCATGCGAGTGCCCTGTATTCAATCTGGCTACCGTTTGTGCATGTGCACGAAAAGAAGGTTCAGTCATTGCATTGCGCTGTGAGTGTGATGAGGGAGTTTGCGTTCTGCAGACGATGGAGATTTTGGGGAGGGGGAGCAGGCTGGTAGCAGAATCTAACTGTTCTGCTTTGCAGAAATTTGCTCTGATCAGGTCTGTCTCATTCTGTATTTACAATGCATCTTGCTTGTCTTCAGCTTCTTGTTCAAACAGCTCTCCATGTGTGGCAGGCTCAGCAGTAAAGGTATTAGAACAAATGAGGAATGACAGGTAGATAAATGTGAAGTTGAGGAGGGAACAAGTACCTGTGGCGTTTGATAGCTAATGACTGGGGATGGCTTGGAGGACATATTTCTTAAAGAGGAACATATAGAGTCAACACCTGGGAAAAGTTAATTTCAGGAGTCAGTTTATTGACCTCAAATACAGGCTTGACAAAGGCAGAGGTTTAGAGATGATCTCTCTTGGTAGGAAGCGTTTAACGTGGCTGGTCGATTTTGCTTTATCGAACTGTCCATCAGATATTGATGAGGGTACCTTCTGTCAGCACTGATGCTTCTGTAAGTCCCTGGTTTTATTTCACTGCAACGTTCTTGAATTGTAGTCTGATTCGTTCGCAGCTACAAACTTTTGAGTGCTTGAGATCTTACACACGGTGTGGTATTCCTCCTCTAGGAGGAGAGTCTTGGGCAGTGATTCACAGAAGTATTTTTTTGCATGACTCAGAGGTTTGGAGGTTGCTTGGTCTGTCTTTTAGCTGGCTTTCAGGGGAAAAAATCTTATAACAAATTTCATCTTTTAGGCTGGTTTTGAATCTCTTTGTTACCTATCTCTGAGAGATCTTTAAGGGCTTTAATCAATGAATCACTGTAATGAAGATCAGGAAGTTTTGGCAAATGAGAATGACGTGAGTTGCCTTCTTTCATAGACAAGTTGGTAAGGAAACAGGAATTGGTGGAGGCTTGACTCTTACCCTATCAAAACAGTAATTGCTAGAAATCAATCAATTTTTTATGCATAGAGTTTAAGATGTTTAAATTAATCTGAGGGTATGTATAGCATGATTTAATTGCTGAGGTTAAAAATTGCTAACATGTCCAAAGACATTTCTGACTTTGCTACTGTAGAAATAATTGACGTTTTTGACCAGACAGGCAGTGGTAACTGGTGATTAAACAGCTGATTTGCAGCAAAATCATTACAGTGTATGTAATTCTGCTTTCTTCTTCTTTCCATAAGCTTTTTAAAATAGAGTGCAGAAGGGAAATCAATTAATGTGGTGTGGTGGTATAATGCGGCTTGCTAATAATGGAATTAACTAGGCTAGTATGGTTCTGAGCAGACATCCCAGATCTCATGAAATAATCCCAGAGAGCCTGCTGTTCTGAAACTCTGCTTTCTGTGTTACCTTGCAGAGCAGTGGTAGAGGCCGTTCATCGGTTGGATCTCATCCTTGGTAATAAGGCAGCGTATCAAGAAGTGTTCAAGCCGGAGAACATCAGCTTGAGGAACAAGTAAGTTGGGCAGGGCACTTGTTTTTTATATTTGGCTGGGAAAAATCCATGTGAAGCAACACGTGGAGGTTTTGAATCTGCAGTTTCACCGTGTATTCGATTTGTAGTATACCTTTGACCTGGGATCCCTCCAGGTTTTTGAAGCAGAGGCTAGATTTCAGATCTGTATTTGAACAGCACCTAACCATACAGTCCATGGCTGGGGGCTTTCCTGGGTGTCGTCGTAATACAAATAAGTCATGTTCATGTTGGCCAATGCCTTCCTTGTAATTATCTATAAAAAAGCCTGTGTGGTGAAGAAACTTCTTATGTGTGTGTGAAATCTTTTATCGGGTTCAGAGTGTGCCTAGCAGGGATGATTTTTCTTACTAATTTTTTAAGCTGTCAAGACAATTCTTGACATTACTGCAATTTAGGAAGTTACCGATGGCCAGCTGAGCCAAGGTAGCTGGTTAGGTGTATGGCTTTTCCACATGCTCTTGTGTGGGAGTGATACAAGCTGTACCATCACCAGATGGCCTAGCTCATCCATTCAGATTTTCCTCTTCCGTGCTTATGTAGTGGCAGCTGTATTTGAAGCTGCTGTAGCTAAATGTGAATTCTCTGCTGTCTATCTCAGGCTGCGGGAGCTGTGTGTGAAGCTGATGTTCTTGCATCCAGTGGATTATGGAAGAAAAGCAGAAGAACTGCTCTGGAGAAAAGTTTACTATGAAGTTATCCAGCTCATTAAAACAAATAAAAAGGCAGGTATCTATGGCTCTGGCATGAGAAAGTCTCTGGCTCTGCAATGGGTGAGACCAAGTTAAAAGCTTCATTTGCTTGGAGAAGTTGTGGTCTGAACACAGGGCAGGAAGCCAGGCACTCCTCAATTTTAATCTTGGAGCTGACATACACTTTTTGTCTAGCTGTGGGCAGGTAAGCTTTAATGATCTGCTGAGAGAGCTGCCATTGCAGAGGATATTTCAACATAATTTGCTTAATTTTTGTCTTCCCATCTTCAAAAGATACATCTCCGTGTAGAACGATGGTCTTAAGAGGCTTTGTCAGTGCTGATTGTTTTTACTAGAGTTGATCACTGGAAAATACTCACAGTATTCACACTTGTATTTTCTAACGCCACGAACTCTCTCCTGGTGATCTGGTTGTCTGAATGTATTTAAGGTGCTCTAACCAGGCACCTTGATTTTTTTTTTTATTTGTTGTTGCAGCAAGTATTTCTCCTCCTTGATGTTGACTCTTAGTAAATACCACTAGATACAACATTGTTGAGCATGAGGAGGTACAGAACTGTGCAAAACCAATTACAGCTGAGCTACCCACTATCCTGCTTCATACTTGGTATAACTTGGGTGGCCAGCCTAAGATGTTACCCGGACTGCATTAACATAGTCTCGTTTTTCTTCCCTCCAGCACATTCACAGCCGTAGCACTCTGGAGTGTGCGTACCGGACTCACTTAGTTGCTGGCATAGGGTTTTACCAGCACCTTCTCCTCTACATTCAGTCTCACTATCAGCTGGAGCTGCAGTGCTGTATTGACTGGACGCACGTAACAGACCCTCTAATAGGTTAGTGCTTAGTGTGTTGGACTCGTGGGCAAGGCCTGAATCCCAGTCAGGAGGCTTCCCCTTGCACTAGTCCATCTTTGTTTCAGCATTCAAGGGATTATCTTCCCCCCCCCCTCCTCTGTTTAGCCAGTTTTCTGTTTAGAACAGACTGTCTGTCCTACTCTCTTTTCCATGGCACTGTTTTGTTGGTTTTTTTAATACTAAACTAGGGAAGAAAGAAGGGTTTCTAACAGGAAGACAATGCTGTTAGAAAATTCTTTAGTAAGTGTTTGGTGATGGCAGATTTTTATGGAAAATTGAAGAGCTCTTCTGGCTGTACAGAATGTTTTTAAAAGCTTAATTAAAGCAGACAAACGGGCCATTGGGGGAATCGGTTCTTGAAATCAACAGATTTTTGTCAGCACATCCTATTCACTAGGTGTAAAATATTGCTTCTCCTCTTGGTGCCCCTTCTGTCTGTGCTCCCTTCACGTACATCCTAGTTGTACTGTGTGTAGCTTTGAAACTGCTGTTGAATCTTGGACTGAGAACATGAGGAAGTTCCTGTAACACAGTAAGGTATGTTAGCTGTCTCAGGTAACCGCCTCTGTGCATGCCCTTAGATGCAGGGTAATTTGAGGTATCTTACCTATTAGGGGAGGAAGAATAAGAGTGTTTACAGTCTTGAAACAGCTCAAGGCTGCGTATGCATTCACATCCTCGATTACCTTGTAATGGTTTGTTCACGTTTGCTCCTGGGTTGTGCTCAGTGGCCTCAAGGCACGTGTTTCTGTTCGGGTGGGTCCAGGTGAGAAACGGAGCCTCTGTATGTTTTGTGAACTGTATTAGCAAGGGTTTAATTGACATTCTTAAAGCTGGCAGCGGGGAGGACAGCAGAAACTGGCATAAGACAAGTTGGTATGTCTTTAGCAATAGAATGTTTTAGTTGCTGGTATCCTATTCTTAGTTCTGGGAGATGATTGTATCATGATCGGCTTTGAAATGTCGGTTTAAAAGGCAGATGTCCCTGGCAACTGTTGCTTTGAGAAATGTATCTCAGTACTGCAGAATTAATAAATTCTCGAAATGCGCATTCCAGATGGGTTTGTACCCTGTGGTGCGTGATTGCATTTGGAAGGCTCCCCTTATTCAGGCTTCTTAATGTTTTTAGGCTTTTTAATTAAAAGGATGCAGCAGATGAGTATGTAACTGGATAATAGAGATGTAACCTTGCATATGCGGAAAAGATGGGTGTGTAGGAATCCCGTATGGACTACAAATTAGGGTGGACACAACTTGATGGTTATATAAATGAGAGCAAGAGGATTCAAAGCAAAAAAGAAAGGGAGGATAGGTCCAATAGCATGCATGGACGGATTTGAAGGCCATGTATTTGTATAATGCATCTCATACAATGCGCATTAGTACGTGGGAACCATTCCTCACTGGTCACTTAAGCCTCCAGATTTCACTTCCACTCTTTTAAACTAAGCCAAGAGGGGAGCAACTTAGACTGCAGGCTGGACTGGTCTTAAAAGTCTTCCTTTGGGATTCCTGCTTGAGGAAATTTTCTCCTCCAGAAGGTGGAAGTCCTTGGCAACAGGAAGACTGAACCTAGACTGAATCCATGATACTGGTCTGCCCGGTGGCAGTAAATGTTCTCTGGAGAGGAAGCGTGAACGTGGTAGCCTTTGCCTCCTGATCTCTGGCTGAACCATGGCCCTGCTGGCTGGGGAGAAGGTGCTGATGGGGAGATGGGAAGCACGGTCTTGCCAGCAGCAGTCCCTCCCAGGAACTGAGTCATGTTTGATGGCTTAAGTTAGTTCAGATCAGCTGGCTGGAGCCTTCCCCTGTTGCTTTTGACACTTTTCCACTGCCTGAACTGCGCTTTTTTTTTTTAAGTTCAGTATAGACTAGACTAGACTAGACTATTGCAGTTAAGTTCAGTATAGAATAGACTAGACTAGACTAGACTATTGCAGTTGGAAGGGACCTACAGCGATCATCTAGTCCAACTGCCTGACCAATTCAGGGCTGACCAAAAGTTAAAGCCTGTTATTAAGGGCATTGTCCAAATGCCTTTTTAGTGCTGACAGGCTTGGCGCATCGACCACCTCTCTAGGAAGCCTGTTCCGGTGTTTTACCACCTTCTCGGTAAAGAAATGCTCCCTAATGTCCAGTCTAAACCTCCCTTGAGGCAGCTTTGAACCATTCCCACGCGTCCTATCGCTGGATCCCAGGGAGAAGAGATCAGCACTTCCCTCTCCACGTCCCCTCCCCAGGAAGCTGCAGAGAGCAATGAGGTTGCCACTCAGGCTCCTTTTCTCCAAACTAGACAAGCCCAAAGTCCTCAGCTGCTCCTCAGAGGACATGCCTCCCAGCCCTTCACCAGCTTTGTTGCCCTCCTCTGGACGCAAAGGCAGTTTTGTTTGGAGACAGTTCTTCCTAACTGACTGTAGCTGCCCTGTCTACAACACAGATTTGCTGTCCTGATTTTTTCCTTGTTTTACTTCTCTTCTTCCCTTTTTGGTTGGCCAGTCCTAAATCTAGATCTCAGTCTTGAGACAATGAGTTTGTTTCCATCTTCATTGTCGGGGAGGGTACATCCATATTGTATGCTACTGCCAGGGGCAAGTGTGCCCAGACTTTGTTCTGGCTTCCAGGGATTTGCGCCGGCTCCTGTCCAAAGGCCTCATTAGCCATGCTGACAAAATCAGCCTCTCAACAGGCCTTATTAGTTTGTGCTCAATGCTATGTTAACGCAATCACATGGCTTGTAGACAGGAATTGGCCTTTGTCCTCTCATCTGAGTGCAAATGGAGCCAGCTCTCCGTGGCATACCTTATAGACAAAGTCTGAGTGACAGTCATTTCAGTTACTGTTAGTGATGCAGCGACATGCACTGCCCCTAATCAGTAGGGAATTGAAGGGGGAGTGAGTGAGCGTCAGTGTCTACATGTATTTTCTACATTTTGACAACAAGAGTGAACCAGTGCTGGTCTATAAGATGCTATGGGTGGCAACCAACAGTGTCGTCTGACCGTGTGGTCTTTGTTTTCATCTGGTGAAATGTTGGGTGTCTCAGGCAGAGGCGTAGGCTGCTCATGCTTTCCAGCAGCCTTTACCCAATGGTGTATGTGATTTCATATTTCTCATGTAGGCTGCAAGAAACCTGTGTCTGCATCTGAGAAGGAGATGGAGTGGGCACAGATGGCATGTCACAGATGTCTGGTTTATCTGGGAGATCTAGGTAAGAACAGAACAGCATCGTCTTTCAGGGCAACGTCTAATACATTAAAAAGATGGTGCCTGTACAGTGCTGTGTCCATTGTTGTTAGGCACCAGCCATAGTTTCTTGCAGACACTGGTTTCCCTCGGACACATTTGTCAATGACTGGTGTAAGCTGAAATCCTTGTCGATAACTGAACCACTACAAATTGCAGAAGCCTTGTTTTTGGGCAAGTAGATGAGGTGTTTGCTATTGATAAACAGCTGTATCCGTGGCCATGTAAGAATGGAAGCCTTTGCTTTTATTTATATTATTTGGACAGTGTGAAGGAAACTCAAAGTGGGCTGACTTCTCAGTTCAGACTTGCTTTAAGGTTGCCTTATGGAGCTGCTGTCATCAACACAAGTGTGACTGAATCAGATTTGTCAAGCAATATTGTGAATCAATCCAGAGTGGTAGGCCACTGCAAAGCCCCATGTTCTTTGTCACTGTGTCTGGCTGCATGTCATCCTTTTTAGAGCAGACTTGTCTATCCCACAGTCACGACCTCCTGAAGTGTGTGGCAAGTGTGTCAGCTTCTTGCTTGATTGTGAACATGTGGGAGTGACGGCAGTGAGAAAACATGTAACTGTGTGAAAAACAACTATTTGAAGTGTGGCGCGGGTAAATGTGCTTGACACGCAGCAGCCTTCAAGCTCTTGAAAGCTCTTTGGCATTATCGTTGCACGTGAATCAGCCTAAAAATGGCATTGCAAATAAATGTCTTATGGGGGTAGTAAGAATGACTTACCTGACTGGTGTGAGAGCAATGTGCTCACCTCTTCACAATGCTTTCACCTAAGGTTTCCGAAATGCCTACTGTTGTCCAAAAAAAAAAAAAATCCACTCTAGGTACAGCCAGGTATTTTATTAGGTTAGCTGACTTGCTTTAGACTTCACACTCTGCTGTGTGAATATAGTCTGTTTGAGGTACTGGAAAATGGAACACAGCTCTGAGTTATTTCAAGGATAAATGAATCAGCACTTAACACATGGAGCAGAAGAACTTCTTCCTTTTGCTCACATGCTGCCACAAGTGTTGAGGGATATCCCCTTTGCTTGAAGTGGCAGGGGTTGTGATGTGCGGAATAGTGCAGCTAAAATAAAAGTGCTTCAAATGGGCCTGGCAAACCCTGTACGTTTCTGTGTTTTGCCAAGAGCAGCTCTTCTTTGATGGATTTGTTGACTTGGCCAGTATTTCTAGTTTTGTGGTATTTTTCATCTGTAGGGAAACCGTGCTTCTCTGCAGAAGGGAAGACACTGCCTTCTGGTTTCTGATGTGCGGTGTGTGGTTTTCTTTCAGCTCGCTATCAGAATGAACTGGCGGGTGTGGACACAGAGTTGCTGGCTGAGCGATTTTACTATCAAGCCCTTTCTGTTGCGCCACAAATTGGTGAGTGAGTTACCATGAATTTTTAGTTGTTAAAATCATGTTGCTGCAACCTAAAAACAATACTCCGTGATACTATGCTGGTCAGGTTTATATCCTGCTGCTGAGAGAGGAGTGGTTTTATCCTCTGGTTAAAATTACTTCCTTCTTTGAGAATCTCTCTCTTGCTGGCAAGCCAAAGAGAGGAGTTAAAGCAAAGGTGCTCTTCACCAGTGACCTCAACTTAGTCATCTGATAACCTCTGAGAAGCTCAGAGTTCCTTGAATATGGTAAAGTTGTGCTTGTCCGGCTAAGGGAAGATCCAGCTGTCCATTGCCAGAAGCAGAGCATTATTGGTCATCTCCCTCTTTTTACCCTTGCAAAAAAGTCTCACGTGCTGCTTTCTCCTTCGGAAGTGACTACCTTATAAGAACACATTGTGGCAAGAGTTGAGGGCCTGTCTCATCTTAAAAAGTGTGCAATTCCAGAAAAATGTTTTCTCTGTGCTGTCTTTGCAGAGTTCTCACTGAGTTGTTTGATAGGCTGATCCCAAATACCAATAAGTGACAAAAATTTATGTACCATAGTGAGCTGGAACAGAACTCTTAAATGCTGATAAGATGATGTCCGTGTCAAGAGGAATACAGTGTCAAGGCCATGGCAGCATTAATACAGAGGAGGAGGCATTGTTTGCTCTGCTTTCTTATGTAGATAACTGGCAGGAAGGTGGGGAGGATCTAAAAGCACCATAAAAACAGAAAAAAAAAACCCAGGGTGGCAAAAGGATCCAGTAGTCCAGACCTTTGTACTGCAGCTTTGCTACTGTTTGTGTCTCCTGGCTTCCCTCCTGTGTGGAAATGTGGTGAGAGGGAAAGGATCTGCTTTCTAGCAGGGCCATTGGAGAATTGTAAGTTAATTCCACTGCCCCTCTCTTTCATGACAGGCATGCCCTTTAACCAGTTGGGGACATTGGCAGGGAGCAAATACTACAATGTGGAAGCTACCTATTGCTACTTACGCTGGTGAGTGTCTGTGAGGATCTTGGCTTTCTGGACAGAGAATCAGTGCACTGTGGTTGCTGGTGCCAGATTCTTTTCTCCTTCACTTTGGATTTGTGACTGTTTTCAGCGGATGAGTTTCAGGGGAGGGGGAAGAGAGATGGGTTTATTTCACCCTTGAGCAGGACTGATAATAGGAAAGAGCCTTGGTCAAACCAAAGCGTCATGCTGGTCGCTAAAATACATGTGCAGGGCTGCACTTGGAGGGCAGGGTTTCATCTGAGACCCTCTGCCTGTGCTAGAGAGCCAGGTCTGAAGGGGAGTGGAGGTGCTGAGTGAGGCACCCTGCATAGTGAGGTGGGTGGAATTCAGTTATCTGAACATGACCTTAAGGCACAAATTTGAAAAGGTGTGTAAACATTGCAGATAGAGCTGTGGTGCAGCTTGAAGTAGGGTTTGCAGACATCAGTGGGAGTTAAATAGCCCAGCATGTTCAAACAAAAGCACTAGGTACCTGTCTTCGTGCTTAGATGTCTGAATAACTTTCTAGTGAGTTAAAGCCATAAAATGTGAGCAACCTTGTGGCAAAGTAACTTTTGATGTGTTCTATTTTGGTATCTCAGTATCCAGTCTGAAGTGTCCTTTGAAGGTGCCTATGGGAACCTGAAGCGGCTGTATGACAAAGCAGCCAAAATGTATCACCAGTTGAAGAAATGTGAAACCAGGAAGTTGTCTCCAAGCAAGAAACGGTAAGAGGGAAAAGAAAAGGAGAGGGGTGCAGGGTGAGGGTTTGCAATGCCACCAGTGTCATCCTCTGGGCTGAGAGTAGTGTCTTTCTGGGAAGTGGGAACTGGTAGATGGCCCGTTCGAGGCAGTGACTGTTCCCAGAATTTTGAGAGCCCCAGTCTAGATCCCATTCTTGATCTCTCAGGTCATAATTTCAGGAGAAAAGCTAAATGCTGGCTAGGTGTAGAATTTGAGGTGAGAGATTTTCTCACTCTCCCCTGGAGGTGGAGACTGCTTATGAGGGTTGAGGCATACTGGTGAAAATTAAAAGTGTATAAGCTGTCTTTTTTTCTCCACTTTCATCAGAATGTAGTTTTCAATTGAGACCTGATCTACCTATTAATAGAGCTCTGTTAGTCTAGTCCATCTCTGTGATGGGTTACCTCCTTTACAGTGTTTTCTTCTCAATCTTTTTAGAGGCAAAGACATTAAGAGGTTGCTGGTGAGCTTTATGTACCTGCAGAGTCTTTTGCAGCCAAAGAGCAGGTAAGGTTACAGTAGATTGTATCTTCTATTGATAACTCACAGTAGCAGTCATTCAGAATTGGAAGAGACTGTTCCCTGTAGGATAACAGTGCCTGTGCTGAGGCTTTCTGCCAAAAGGTCCAAGACTTTAGTCTTCTAACCTTGCAGGGAGAGTGAAGGAGACTGTCTTCCAAGGGAGGCTGAAATACCAAAGGGTTAAATACTTTGTGACTCTGGCTAAATCAAGCCAGTAGCTGAGTGAATGTTGAACTCCTGAGTCTCGCAGCTCATCTCTGTGCTGTATTATGCCTTTGGTGTTTTCTTGCCTTGTTCAGTCATCAAATGCTTCTTCCTGGCAAGCACTGGATTTAGGCTGATAGGACAGCAAAGAGTCACCGTCTGTACGTGTGCAGAGCTGTTCGTTGCATTTGGAAATCTGTAACCAAATACCTTGTTCAAAGAAACAAATAGCATAGCCCGTTCATGTTAGCTGTACAAAGCTTTCCATTTATTCTGTGTGATTTCCGCCCCCCACCCCCCCTTGGATTTTCTCTGTCTCTGCTGGGAGGTTTTCAGGTGATTGTAAATTAACCTCTTACTGCTTGAAATAGAGCAGGTGTTTTAAAGGGCTTATACACAGGCTACAGTTAAACTCATCATGGAATAGTTCAGGTTGGAAGGGACCTTCTTAGGGGTCCAGTCCTCCCCCAAAGTAGGGTCCACTGTGAAAGTAGATTCAAATGCGAAGTCAGATGAGGTTGCTCAGAGCCTCATCCAGCTGAGTTTTTAATGGATCTAAGGACAGAGATTCCACACCTCTCTGGTCCCCCTTCCAGTGTTTGACCACCTTCACTGTGGTGTTTTTTTTTCCTTGCATCTAGTCTCATTTTCCTGTTCTGCAGCCTGTACCCATCGCTTCCCTTCCTTTTGCTGTGCACCGTTGAGAAGAGTCTTACTCAGTCCTCTAGAACCACCTATTTGGCATCTGAAAACAGAAGATTATACCCCCTGAGCCTTTTCTCTTTCAGGCTGAACAAACTCGATTCTCTTTGCCTCTTCTCATACCTCATGTTCTCTGTTCCCCTTGACAGTCCTCTGCTGGACTAAGTCCAGCTTGTCAGCATCTCTTTGTTTGTTTTTTTTTTGTACTGGGGACCCCAAGACTGGATGCAGTACTCCAGATGCCATCTCTTGAGTGCCAGACAGGGTGGGATAATCATTTTCCTCAACCTGCTGGCTGTGCCCTTGCTAATGAAGCCCAGTATGGGATTAGCTTTCAAATATTGACTTATAGTGGAGTGGAACTTCAAGGCTCATTTAATATCCACTTAACACATATTTAGCACGTAAGAAAATTGGAAATTACTTCAGTTTCCCAAGCACGTTGCCCCTGAAAAAGATTTGCTAGATATTTTGCAGATGGGTTTATTTTGTAACTAGGAGACTCCCATAGCCCGTTATACTGAATTACCGTGGGTGCTTCCTTTGAAGTAGCTAATAGCTACAGAGGATTTTGGAATGTTTTTACAGGGCTGCAAGTTAGAGCCATGGGAGGAGGAAGAGTTGTGTCCCCAGTTTGTGCACTGCAATGTAGTCCTTTAACTGAGCAGCGGATCTGCAACTTTTGCTACCTTCAGCATTGAAGTGCCCTGTGTATCTTAATGGCTACTGCCTGAGCTCCCAGTAAAAAAGTAATATTTTTTTGGTGACTCATCTCTTTGTAGTATCGTTTGTCTTTAGTTTAGCAGCTTTGGAGAGGAAAACATAATCTGATTCATCTCACTTGCTTCCCATAGCTGTTGTTGCCTACAGTATATTCCCTGGTGCTTCATCCTGTCTAGTGCTAAAGGATAGCCTAACTGCCAGTTTTGGTTCAGTTTCCATGCAGACATTGCCAGGAGCTTGAGTCTTGAATAATAACTCTTGTTTATTTTTGCCTCTTGTTAAGCTCTCTGGATTCTGAGCTGACATCTCTCTGCCAGTCTGTGCTGGAGGATTTCAACCTGTGCTTGTTCTACCTGCCTTCTCCTCCTAATCTGAGCTCAGCTAGTGAAGATGAAGAAGAGTATGAGAGCGGCTACTCCTTCCTTCCTGATCTCCTGATCTTTCGCATGGTGATCATCTGCCTTATGAGTGTTCACAGCCTCAAGAGGGCAGGTAACCAGTGCTTTATTCAGCAAATTCATTCAGAAATTTAGTGATTAACATTCAGCAGTCCAGTTAGGCTGAAGATGTCGTCCTAATTGGCATTCATGTTTTGGACTAGTGGTCAGCCTCCTCCACCTCATTACGCTGTCTTGTTGCAGGTTCAAAGCAGTACAGTGCAGCCATCGCTTTCACGCTGGCCCTCTTCTCTCACCTGATAAATCACGTCAATATTCGCCTGCAGGCGGAGCTAGAAGAAGGGGAGAATCCAGTCCCAGCCTTTCAGAGTGATGGTACAGGTAAGAGAACAGAGTATAAGCTGAGTCTCCCCAGTTGCCTGCCTATAGGGCTGGCTTTTACTTTTCTTTCCTAAATCTCCTGGGCATGCGTTTTGTAGTATAGTACCTGAGTGGTGTTAGAGACATCTTGATCTTTGACTGCTGGGCTGAAATCCCCAAAGATAGGTAATCTGCTGAGACAGTCTCCACTTAGACGCTCTCTGTGAGTATCAGAATCATCACAGGATGAAAATGTTTGCTTTCCTTGTTGTAAGGAGTTATCTTTCTGTATTTCTTGGCAGCTCATTCATCATCTGTTTACCCCAATCTGTGCTCCTTATTTTCTGTCTCTATTTGCTGTTATTTACTGGACTCTTTTCTTCTCCACTGAGGAGGTGATCTCAGGTGAAACACCTGGGCAGAGTAGTGTCTGCTCAGCACACCTCATCTCTGCTCAGACAAAAACAGATCTTTAGTTTCCGGGGGATCCTGTTGAGCAGAGAATGAAACTGCTAAATCTTTTCCCTGCAAACAGTCAATTTGTAATATTTCACGGAACGCAGGACCAGAGTTTACCTCGTCAAAAGCAACAATGAATGACTCCTCCCCTGCATGGGTTTTGAAGCTGTCAGGGTGACATAGGGCTGCTGGAAAGTCTGTGAGCATGTTGGTCAAGGAAGGGATTAGATCAACTCAGTCTAGTTACAGGGTGGAGTGGCTGGTTTAATCCAGCTGACTGGCACATGCCCTTGCCCCGCTTGGTGGGTCACTTGGTTCTCGGACTGTAGAAAGCTGGGGAAAAGATTTAAGATGCAACTGTGTATTTTATGTTGGTCTGGCAGCATTCAGCACTGGGGCTGCCTGATAACGGAGCAGCACAGCTTGGGCAGTAGGAATCCAGGCTTCCCAAGTCTTTCTGGGCGCCTTTTAGAAAGTGAGTCATTCTTCTAGGGTTGCCCATTACTTGTTCTCTGGTTAAAGACACTAATAGAAGTGATGGCTGAAATTTGCAGTACTGGTTCCCCAGGCTCAGGGCTGACAAACAGCTTGTGTGACGCATCGGGACTTTCTTAACTTGTGGTCTCATTTTAAATGCCTGCAGATGACCAGGAGCCACGGGAGCCATTGAACTTGATTGAGAAGGAAGCTGAAGCTGACTTGGCCAATCATCAGCCCAGCGAGGAACAACGGAAGAATGACTGCAAGAAAAGCAAGAAATACTCCCGCCTCTCCTGTTTGCGTCGCCGCCGCCACCCCCAGAAGGTGGATGAGAGTGACCTGAGCGAGGGCTTTGACTCTGACTCCAGCCAGGGCTCCACAAAGGGCAGCGATGGCTCAGAAAGTGGCTCAGAGAAGAGTGACGAGGAAGCAGAAGCTGCTTTTGATGTGGAGACGGACTCTGACATGAACAGCCAAGAATCTCGGTCCGACTTGGAGGACATGGAGGATGAGCCGGGTGAGGAGGGAAGTGGCCGAGGCAAAAGTGGGCCCAAAGAGGCCTTAAAAAACTGTGTGGATGGCAGTGGGCTGGGGGACTCCAAGAGCCCAAGCATCTCTAAAATTGAGGCTCTGGATCCAGCAGTCAATGGGCCAGCTTCCCTGAGCGCTAATGACGCAAGCATAGCCAGTAATCTCCAGGCCATGTCCACCCAGCTGTTTCAGACCAAACGCTGCTTTCGCTTGGCTCCCACTTTCAGCAACATCCTTCTGAAACCGAACAGTGAACCACCCGTCTTGAAGGATGGAATAGAAAGCAAGCCATGTATCAATGGAGATCTGGAGAAGCCCAGCTTGTCAGAGCAAGGTAAGGATCAGCAACCTCATTCAAAATATTTGTTGTTGCAGCCCTGTGTAGAAAACTGCAAGCTATAGCAGTCTGTTTGCTAAAATCCACCCCTTCTCATGGTGCAAGTTCTCCTTCATCCAGGTTTGGAGGAGCAGGTTGCCCAAGTACTGGGCAGGTCTTGGGTTGGGTGTTTCCTGAAGGAGGAACTTTACTCTTACTGCTCGACATCCAGGAATATGTGCACTGAGCAAAGGAAACGCCTGCAGCCAGCCGGGGTTATCTGTTGTTCTGCTCAACAGGCTAAATGCTGAGCAGTTCTGATAATACAGAGGATAATTCCAGCAGGTATTAAAAATTTGGATTATCTTCCTTTTTCCCCATGTAAAATCTCTGTAATCAGATGCTTACTAGACCTTCTGGTGATGGACAGTGCAGATGCGGTCCAGGAATTTCTCCATGAGATGTCAGATTATCAACTCTGCAAAGCTCTTGTCAAAGGAGCTTGTCTGTAAGATGTGACCTAGGTGCATGCGAGTTGCGGGCCTTTTTCTGTGACCCTCTGAATGCTGCCTCGCTGAGTGCTCAGGGCTGAACCCAACTGCAGATGCACAGCAGGTGGAGCTGCAATGTCTCTATTGCCACACAGCTTAGACAACTGAGTAACGTTCTGGGAAAAAACAGCTTGAAAGGGAGATCTGATGCACTACAGGGAGTTGTTTGTATTTCAGATAAAACCACACGGGCCTGTTCAGTCTTGTTTGTCATTCCCCCCAGCTTCCCTGGAGCAAGGAAACATTTTTGCGTCCTGCTGCCAAATTCAATGGGCCTGCAGCACTGGCAAGATTCAGGCTTTGCCTGGGCCAGGATTTGAAGGGGGAGTATTAGATCATGTTAATGTTTACTGACTCCTGGCATTGCTTCATAGCCACTTGAAAGAGATGGGGGTAAAGGAAGAAACAAACGATTTTTGGTCTGTTTAACATTTTCCTTCAGTGGGTTACACAGATGTTGCAGCTCCAGGCATGTATTTGAATAGCGTGGCCATGATACTTTTATAGATGTAGAAAATGAGAGGTTGAATGAACCAGGTTGAATGAATTAACCCATGGGCTTTTTAGCTGAGTTCTCTTTGCCTCAGCTGTACTGTTTCAAAACTTGAGCTATGTAATGGTCTTAACACTCTATCAGGGATGGTTTCTGAATAAATTACTTCCTCCCTTTTGATTCTGAGGGTTTATTGAGTGATAATTGCTGTGCTAATAGGCAGAAGTGACTGTGCAATTAAAATAAGGGACTGTAGCAAAATGCATCGTTGATTCCCAGCTTGCTGCTACCTTGACCTCAGGTCACTCATGTAGCTAGCATGCAATTTCATTGGCAGTGGCTTTGAGATCCTCTGGTCTGTAGAATGACAAGATGGCAAAGCATATTCAATATTTAAATTCACCTGGGCCCTGGCTCATGAAATAGCCCTACCATTTTCTTCTCTTGCCTAGCCCGAAGATTAGTGCACGTCGACCTAAACAGTGATCACTGGCTCTGTTCTCTGCAGTAAATGATATGGTTCCTTGTGGTGGCACATGCTGTTTCCCCCTGCTCTGTTAGCGAGCGTCTCAGAAGCTGCTGGAGGGGTTAAGGCGTTCGTCAAACTTTCACAGGGAGATTTTAGCAATCTTCTCCCAACGAAGAAGAACAAGCAACAGTAATACAGTCATATCAACAGCACAGGGGATGGGGAACTGGTTTTGCGAGGATGTGTGGAGGCACTGAGAAGTTCAACTCAACTCTTACCAACCCAGCACTGTTCTCATACCGGTAGGGCTTGGCTTCTCAAGGGGTTTAATGCCTACCATCCTGCTTTTCCCTTCATTTTCCAGATGATGTGTCTGACTCTGAGGAAAGCTTTTCAAGTAACAAATCCTGCAGGAATGAGCGATCCCTTCAGGAGAAGCTAGAGATCATGACCAACGAAGGGCTGCTTCTCGCTGTCAAGGTGTTCCTGGACTGGCTGAGGACAAACACGGACCTCATCATCATGTGTGCTCAGGTGGGAACTGTGCTCGGTGTTCGGTCCAAGGCTGCGTCTGTTCGGTTCCCCTGGGCTGGGACGATAGGGGCATATTGAAACTGCTGTCCCAGTCCTGGACAGAAGGTGATGTTAAATACCCCACCAGCTGAATTAAGATAATCTTGTCCTAAGAAGTGTAGTAGTTTACTCTTTATAAAGCATTCTGAGGTCTGTGAAAGATGCTGGAAAGCCCAAGCAGCCTGGTTATTGCATACATCTGCATTGACGTTTTCTGTGGCCTTCTGTGTTTTGTTCCTGCAGAGCTCTCAGAGCCTGTGGAATAGGCTGTCTGTGCTCCTCAACCTTCTGCCTTCTGCTGCAGACCTGCAGGAATCAGGTACTGGAAAAGGAAGTGGCAATGTAATGTTTCAGCAAGCCTAGTCATCAGTGATTTCCATGGTGTGTGATAGATCCTGGGGTGAGAGATTTGCCAGTAGCAGTTTGCTTATAAGCACAATGGGAAGCGACATCATGCCTGTGTTGTTGTTTTTGTGTTTAAACACCATTCCAGTTAAATACTGTCCTGTAGACTTTAGCTCTATTAATGCATTATATATGGCTGACAATATACTGAAACACTCGCACCTGTGTGTGTGAAATCCTTGTGTGGCCAACATGATTGTAATTAACTGTCAAGACCATAAGTAAGAGTATGATTTTTCACGGCGATCGTGGAAACTAGTTTTGAAGCTCCAAATGCTTGTGATGTGCCCTGTACCTCAGCCTAAAGAACCCCATGATTCATGAGAAGCATAGTTTAAACAGGGATGCTTGTCTGTTGGAATGAATGGGAAGGCTAACTTCCAAACTAGAGTTTTTTCTGAAGTGGTGCACCTTAGCAGGTTGTTGGGGACAGTTACTTTTTATGTTGTGGGTGGCCTTTTTGTTCCTCCTTCAACACGTGTTCACAGTACATGTGTAATTTAAAACCTTTGCCCTCGATCATTACAGGTTGCGTGCCTTAAAGCAGTTTTCCTCTTTGTCCCCACATCAGTTGTTTAAGTCACCATATATTGCTGTGCACCTCCTCCATCCTCTCCAGGGCTGGCCCTATGTAATGAAGTCAAGGACATTCTGAGTGGCGCTGAGCTCCCAGACCTGAAAGCCAACTTGCTGCTCCCAGAAGATGTGGCCCTGCGAAATCTTCCCCCTCTGAAAAATGCACACAAGAGGTTTAACTTTGAGCAGGACCGGCCCATTTTCTCAGCAGTTGAGGAGGTGAGTCAGGGTAAATCGCGAATCTCGGCACAAGCTGCATTTACCTTTCTGGAGGTGCAGCCTGTCTTAGCTGTGCAGATGAAGATCTAGTTCTTTCTTGCCAAAAAAGACCCCAAACTGATTCAAACTTTTGAGTCTGAGATGGGCTCATGTTATTGGTGGTTGCTGCAGTCATTTGTCTATCCAAAAATCAGTGTTCAAAAAAATTGCCTTGCCTTCCCTTCCCTGTCAGTCATTATGAAAGGAAGTACAGTCACATGTTGACAGCTTTGCTGCATGAAGTCTCCTGACCTCCCTGGCTGGGCAGAAGCGTTGTTATCTCTGCCCTGCCTTGAATGAAGAGAATTTGATTGGAGCTGCAGGATACTTCCTGTGATCCTTCTCTAGTAAATGCAAAAGTTGGTGAGATCTCACTTCATGTGGCACTCTGTGCCCTCGTAGAGCACTTCTGCCTGTTTTCCCAAGCACAAAGGGCCAAGGTGATCGTTTCTGGGTAGCGGAGGTGTGCAGAAAAAGGCAATTGTTCTTCTCCTGTCTTGCCTTGCTAGACCAATCTGATTCCTTTGGAGTGGGGAATATATTCCATCTTCTGCCTCGATTTAAGGGCGCTGTTCTGATGCGTGACGTGAGACCCATGTTTGTTAAATCACAGTCCAGCCGGCTGAGGTCTTGAATGTCATCTCAAGCTGCTGGGGCAGCTGGAGCAAAGTGCAGCAATCTCGCATCCCACGTGAGCTCACCTTTTGCTGCCTTTGCTCAGCAGCCCAGCCAAGAGAAGCGCCTGCCCCAAAATCAGATATAGATTGTTGTTTTGTTTGATTCCTTTTCCCAGCACTGGGGGCTTGAGCAGAGATTTATGGGGGAGAGCCTGTTGATGTTTTCTGAGGTTTTCTTGAGTTGGGGAAGCCCAGACTGCAAGCACTTCTAAGCTTTCTGGCCAAGTATAGGCTTTCCTGCAGCCCTCTCCTGCAGTCTTTGTCTTCAGAAGCACATTTCCATCAGAAATGTTTCCTTTGGATTTTTTTTTTTAATAGCAGTTTCTGCCTTTTCCAAAATTTCCTTTGGATTTTTTTTTTAATAGCAGTTTCTGCCTTTTCCAAAAGCATGCAGGGTCGGAGCTGGCTCAGGCTACAACCCCCATGGGGAGACATGGCTAGTGATTGCCTGTCTGCTTCTTTGCAGTCTGTTGTTCGGATTTGCTGCATTCGGAGCTTTGGCCACTTCATAACCCACTTGCAAGGCAGCATCCTGCAGTTCAACTCAGAGCTTGGGATCTTCATCAGCATAGCACAGTCGGAGCAAGACAACTTGCTGCACCAGGCCCAAGCCCAGTTTCACATGGTGAGTTGGCAGAGGTGGGCTAATTCTCTGTACTTGGCACAATTTCCTGTAGATTACTATTAGATTGTAACTGTAATCACAGATCTTTGGTGGGAGATGAACGTTTTGCTCCGTAAAGCTACTCAGGTGTCCCCTTTTCACCCTGTTTGTGGAAGCATGTGCTAGTGTCAGCTTGTGTGCTTCCTGCTAACTGATACAGAAGTTTGTTTTTGTAACTAGGCTGCAGAGGAAGCTCGTCGGAACAGGCTAATGAGAGATATGGCTCAGCTTCGACTGCAGGTAGGAGATGCTGGTTCCTGAAAACTGGCAGGGTAGTGGCTGAGATGTCTGAAAGTAGGAAAGGAAGGGGGAGCTCTCTGCTCCCATCCCACACGTAGGCAGTAAGTCTGTTCTGCAAAGACAGAATCATAGAATATCTCAAGTTGGAAGGGACCTATAAGGATCATTGAGTCCAACTCCCTGCTCCTTGCAGGACTACCTAAAACTAAACCATATGCCTAAGAGCATCGTCCAGACACTCCTTGAACTCTGACAGGCTTGGTGCTGTGACCACTTCCCTGGGGAGCCTGTTCCAGTGACCGACCGCCCTCTCAGTGAAGAACCTTTTCCTCATGTCCAATCTGAACTTCCCCTGACGCAGCTTCATTCCATTTCCTCGTGTCCTATCGCTGGTCACCAGAGAGAGGAGATCAGCACCTCCCCCTCCGCTGCCCCCCTTGAGGAAGATGTAAACTGCGATGAGGGCACCCCTCAGCCTTCTCTTCTTCAAGCTGTACAAGCCAAGTGACCTCAGTCGCTCCTCCTAAGTCTTGCCCTTGAGACATTTCACCATCTTGGTCGCCCTTCTCTGGACACACTGTAATAGTTTGATGTCCTTCTTACACTGAGGTGCCCAAAACTGCACACAGTACTCCAGGTGGGGCTGCACCAGTACAGTGTAGAGTGGGACAGTCACCTCCCTCTGACTGCATCCAGCCCTCTGCTTCATGTGCTGGGAGGTTGGAAGGACCTGACGGAGCTTTGCAGGGCGAGTCTTGCCCTGTTTGATTGTTTGCTTCAGCATAAATGTGAAGCAAGTGTCTCTACATGTGTGTTTTTTTCAGCTGGAGGTTTCTCAGCTGGAGGGAAGTCTCCAGCAGCCCAAAGCGCAGTCAGCCATGTCACCTTATCTTGTCCCGGACACCCAGGCCCTCTGCCAGCACCTGGCTGTTGTCAAGCAGCTGGCCACCAGCGGGAGGTTCATAATCATCATCCCTCGAACAGGTATGGGGACTCCATGTCAAATAACTGAGCCTCTCTTCCCCTCGTTCCCTCCTTGCTAGGAAGCAAGCCCTGTGGGCCAAGATGGTGGCTTTCTCTCCTGCTGCTGTTGTCCTTTACTTCGGCTGGAGCAGCTGAAACGCTGTTTCCACATGTCGCTTTTGGGGCCTGTTTTATGTGTGGCCCATGCTTGGAATCTAACATCGTGTATCGAAGAACAGCTGGAAAGAGAGAGGCCCTGTTCACCCTCTGCTTCGTCTGCCTCCTGTGGCAGCCACTGCTGCTGTGCATCAGAGACAGTTCAGTGGGATGAGGAATTCTTGACACATCTGGATTAGTTTGCAGCAGTATAGCTGTAAGCCAGATGTTTTTGTTTCTTTTTTTTTTCTGTTAGTGATTGATGGCTTAGACTTCCTGAAAAAGGAGAACGCAGGTGCTCGGGACAGCATCCGGTATCTGGAGGCAGAATTTAAAAAGGGAAACAGGTGAGAGTGGGAGAGCGATGCGATTTGCCCTTGCTTTTGGAATGGGTATATTCTGGGGTGGAAGAAAATGTCCATGGTGGGAGCAGCCTGTGCATCCCTTGGAGCAGAGTGAGGAGTGGGCCAAGGGAAAAGCCAGGCCTCAGGAATGCACTTGGCAAGAGGGAAGGTGGTGAAGTAACAGATTTGGCATCTGGTTCTCCAGATACGCTTGTAGTTGCTGCTCGGCCATGAAATGTAGCTGCTTCTGAGGAATGGAGGGAGTGGCATCTCTTTATCAGTGTATAAAACTGAGCAGTACCTTTTACTGATGCACTGGGAGTGCCGGCAGAGCTGTACGGCATTATTGCCCAAGTTAGCTGTAGAAGGACAAACAGCTGCGCTTCTGTGAAGACAAACTGCATCTTCAAGGCCTATGTCAGGGCTGGTGGGCCACTTGTGGTTTTGTGAACCGCACGTAGCGATGATGAGGAGGAGACAGGGGAGGTGATCTAAGGGACTTTACAGGGGATTCCTTGGGCAGGCCTTTGGGTGTTACTTTGGTTGATAAAAGCCAGCGTTGCGAAAGGGTCCTGCAGCATCTGGTAGTCATGCAGCAGTGCTGTAGAGCACTGACTTCAGTCTGTGTGATGGTCTCCATGTGAGCTCAGTGACTCTGATCTTTCCTTAGGTACATTCGTTGCCAGAAAGATGTTGGGAAGAGCTTTGAGAGGCATAAATTGAAGAGACAAGATTTAGATGCCTGGTAAGATTACAGCATCTGGAGATGTCTGAGCCTGATTCCCAGCAGGCAGGTGGCTTTGGGGAGAGGTGTTAGCACTGGGACCCATCATGCAGCTTGCTTGATTTGGTGCTCTAAGTGAGTAATTATAAAATTCCTTAGAGAGGGTGTTAGGGCATCCATCCATCTGTGCATCTCACATAGCACCAAACACTTGGTGCTAAGAAGGGTCTCAGAAAAGCCTTCAACAGGCGCCAGAGAAACAGTCCTGCTTTCCACATGTTCTCCTGAGCATATGTTTGCACAAACAAGTGGTCTTCCCTCTGACTTTCCCCTCTGTTTCTCTTCTTGCATCTGTCTGGCAGGAATCTCTATAAAATACTGGACAGCTGCAAACAACTGACAGTGTCCCAAGGAAGCGGGGAGGACGACACCACAGGAATGGTCACCATCATCACGGGCTTTCAGCTGGAGGACCCAAGCACGTTCTCGGTGCCCATGCAGGTCAGTAGCTCTTTGGCTGGCTGAGCTGAGCCTTTCTGCTTCCTAGCGAGATTAAAATCTGGCTGATTGGCAAGGGATTTTTTTTTTTTTTTTTTTAATGTTTTCTGCTTTGGGTAATAACTGTCCTGGATTTCCCAAATTTAGTTTATAAGTCGTGGTTCCTATTTCCTTGAAGGCCCCTTGATCTGTCATGCTTTTGTGGTGCAAAGTGTCCTGGGGGAGGTAGGAGAAGTAATTTGCATGTCTGTGCAGGCCTCTCATGCCAGAGCAACTTTAGCATGAAGGAGAATTGGGCCTTTTAGCCATGACAAACTCTGCCTGAGAATCTCCAAGTTGTGAAGGGCAGTCCTCTTGACAGGGCAAGAAAAAAATAACCTGTTTTGTCTCTGCTTGCAGTCTGCCATCCAGGCAGCCGCCAATGCCAGCGTAGAAATAAAAAATGTTCTGGAGTTCTACAAGCAGTGGAAAGAGATGGGCTGATGTTCAGAAAGGCATCGGGTTGGTGTACCTTTCTCTCCCCCTCTCGGAACGTGCAGCGTCTGAACGAAGGAAACAAAAATCTGGGTGACACTTAGACACGAAGAAGCAGCAGCAGCAACAATAACAAAAATATCTACCAAAAAAAAAAAAAAAAATCCAATTTGGGCACGCACACAGACACCCTCCACCTGTATCCTGACCAGACGGCTGTACATCTCCGACGGCGCCAACTGCTCTGAGAAGAGAGAGGCACCTCGGCACGGCCGAGGCAGAGCTCTGCCCTTCTCCCAGTCGGCAGAGATGGGCGAGAGACGGGCAGTCATTCATTCCCCCCTCATTCCTCCCCAAAGCTTGCTTGGTCATCTGAAATGGGCAGGCGGCTTCTAAAGCGTGGACTTTACTTAAATGAAACCAAACCAGCGCAGCAGAAATGGAGCCCTCTTAGCTTGGGAAAGAAGATCCAAGGAGTGTTTAGCTCTTGTTTGGCAATCTGGTGACAGGAAAGCAGATGGGTTTTTTCCTTTTAATTCTTAGTTTTTATATATATAAATAATATTAAAAAAGAAAAAGTGGAGTTCCTTTGGGGTTCTGGATACTCTTCCAATGTCAGAGAGAGAAGGAAACAATTATGCTATTTAAAAGGGGGGGGGAAAGCTCTTAATATAATTTTTTTTTTTTTTTCTTTGAACAAGCATATTTATTTCCTTTCCCTGTCCCCCATGGAGCGGGCTCAGTGCAAAGGGATGTTGGCCTGCAAGGAGAGAGCAGTCTGAAGTGCCCCGATGGGCTTGGTGCACATTCTTGCTCTCCTTACAAGCTGCATGCTTCATGAGCAGCAAGAGATTGGCCAAGCTGCTTGAGAGAGGTGAAAAGGACGCTCTTCCTCCTTCCCCAGTCCCTCCCGCTTCTTTGCTTCCAGCATTAGACCTTGGAGAAAAGGAGTAGAATCCAGCAGAGTTGCTCGAAGAGAGAGGAGAGCCGTGTGGGATTTAAACACTGATAAGGCTCAACCACTTGGCTTGAGTGCTGTGACCCTGGGATGGAGCAGGTATCTCCGAAGGATCCAATGCCTCCTCTTCCCCCCCCTCCCCCTTTCTCTTTTTTCCCTTTTTTTTTCTTTTCTAAATCTTGCAGTGAGGTGTGGAGGAGGAAGGAGGATCTCAAAGCCATTATCTCTTCTGCTGGTTGTTCCAACACACCACTGCTGCTATGCCATGCTAGAGAGGGTGGCAGAACTTGAGTGTTTGTATCCCCCCTCCTCACATCCCTCCAGGGAAGGCAAAGGCAGCGCAGTGACTGCCGCTGCCCAGGACTGAGCTCACAAAGCATTGTGCTTTCAGCATCCCAAAAAGAAGGGATGATGCTACCTGGACGGATGCTGGAAGAGCTAATTCCCCATGTGACCTGTGAGGGACCTTTCAGACCTCCATCCTGACAGCATCTCAAGCAACCTGTGTCTGACATCCTGTCACACGTTGATGCTTGGAAATGAAGAAATGGGTTGCTCCAGGACAGCAGAGCGGTGGGAGATAGGCTGAACGGCCTCTTTTTAGTTCATCTGTGTCAATGTACTCAAGAAACAGATGTCTCCATCCACATGAACTAACAGCAGCTATGCAAGTAAAAACCACTAGTCTTCTATGTTTGTGTGTTTTTTCCCATGGGCCAGCCAGAAGCTGCTACGAAAGGGGCATAATACGGAAAGACAAGTAACATACTCCAATCTATGCAGACTTCCTAGCATGATGCATTGTACTGGAGTGGCAGGATGTTCCTTGTTTTCAGGTAAAAACTAAAAAAACCAGCACAAGTCCCAGAGGATTCATTTATATTCCAATTTCAGTTCCTTTGCAGCATGCAGCCTCGTAGCACAGCAGAGAGAAATGCTGAGCTTTAAGTTACAGCTGGAGCTGGCCCTACCAGGTCCATACCTTGTGGTCTGAAAGGCAGGTGGAGGGGGTAGGGTGGCACGGTTTCCCTACAGGTTTTTCTTTTTGCAGCTTCTCCTGAAACTCACGGTGCTTTTCTAGGCTAAGCCAAGGAAACAACATAAGCAGAACAGCAGGTCAAAGACTCTGGCTCATCTTGGGTGTTCATAGAGGTCTAAGATGGGCTGTGAAGTTTGTCAGTCACTCTTTCCTCCAGTGCTGCCAGTGTTTTTATTTGAAGCCATTTGTTTGTCTAGCTTGTTATTTTTGTTTGATGGGGTGGGAAAAGAAAAGAGGATCGCCTTGTGGGACTTGTCCTTCAGTGTATGACCCAGAGCAATGTGGTGAAGTGGAGAGCAGAGTCACCTCCCCTTCTGCCCCTCCGTTAACTTGGAGAGTGCTGCTCAGTTATGCTGAAATACGCTCCTTGTTCAGTGGAAGCCTGGCTCAGTGGGATGGATAGCTGGTGGACTGTGCTGCTTCAGAAAACCGTCCACCTCCTTACTGCAAAGCACATCAGAAGGGTCTGCAGGCTGCAACTCCCTTCTGGAGGTCTGCTTGAGCTGAAGCCTGGTTGTCTTTGCAGTCCTGAGAGGCCTAATTGTCATTCCCTTCTGGCTGCACAGTGCAAATTGCGCACTTGGGGTCGGTAAAGAAAAGAGCGTTGCTTGGCTGAAATCAAAACAGCGAGGAGCTGGAGGCATTCCTCAGCTTTGCTCTGGGCCAGGTATTCCCGTGGCCACAGCTGGATCTTGAGGGGAGAAAAGAGCAATGCAAATAAAGCAGCAACCAAAAGGGAATGCCTGTCATGCCGATCATGAGTGTCTCGGTTCGTACAGCTCCCCAGGCTGCCGGTGGTGCAGAGTGAGAGCTGGGAGCCAAGTGCTGTGGGGTCAGGGCAGCAGATGAGGTTGGTGCTGTCACTGAACAGGGTGGGAGCAAGGGGTCACAGTCCAGTGCAGAAGATGGGCTAACACAGTCCATCCATGTCCTGAATCAGACTGATGGCTTGTTTGGGCTGGACACGGAAGGCAGTTTAAGAACAAAAGTAAATAAACTTGACATTTCTGTAACAAGAGGTTGGCTGAGCTGCAGTGAGCCCAGGCCACCCCACACGGTGAAATCAGAGGGCTTCTTTCTAAAAGGCAGCAAGGCTGCTGCCTTACTTTCCTCGTAACCATCCCTTAGTAACTGACCTGGTCTCCTGAGGGATTGTTTTAATATTACCCTGAAGTTTTGCACACCTGGAGAGGAGGAAAAGGCCCTTCAACAGTGAATCTGAACTGCCCAGTGGCATCTTTCACCACATCATACCTCTGGGCTGAGCGGGGAGGGATAGTAACCTTTTAAAAAAGGCACCTGAAAGATCCCTGTGCTACCCTGCTTCCTCTCCAGAACATGCAACTATGGTTGAGGACCTGATGAATTTTTCTTTTGGGATGCACGTCCCCAGTCAGAGATACATGAAGCTGAAAAAGTGGGAGACTTCAAAGCTCTGGAACAGCGCAGCTGCAAAGCGGCCTCAGGGAAGATGGCAAGCTGTGTCCTCCGGCAAGTGTTGCCTTCTAATGGGGGTTCAACTTGACGTCTTTAAGATTGGGGTAAAGGAAGACACTTCTTAGCCCCAATCCCAGCACTCATGATGAGTTGGAGTCTCCTCCCTGGGTATAAATTGATACAGATCTGCTGCATCTAAGGGCTTGTGCCAGTTTGCCCCACACGGGATTTGGTGCATCGCTTCCAAATCCCAACTGAGAAAGCCAAAAGCAGGAGGCTGGTTTCCCCGGCCTGTTGTGTTAGTTGTGGTTGCTGATGCTAAGCAGTTCTCCAGGGCTAAAGAAAACTTGAAGGTCAGTGGGGAGGCTCCATGTATCCTGGCTTACTGCTCTGCCCATGGCTCCTGAGCGCTGTGGCTGGGGTTTCCCAAGAGCTCGCCGCAGCATACTCATGCCAGCCTGAGAGCGCCGCAAACTGACTTGCCAAGCTAGCGTCATGCAACGATTGAGCCACGTGAAAGCCAGCTCTGGTCCACTGCTAATCCCTATGGTGCCATTTCTGGACCAACTCAAAGCTTGCCGAGACATGCTCCAAGCTAGTCCCGTAAAGCCCACTGTACTGGGAAGGAGAGCAAAAAGAAAAACAATCTTGTGGGCAGAAAGCATTGTTTTTGTGTGTTTCTTGGTTTTGGGTTTTCTTTTCGTTACCACCATGTTGAGCTCTCGGAAGTTTATGGGCTGCCCCTAAGCTGGGAGAGCGCAGGTTTGCAGTGGTTGAGGCTTGCTGGGTTTCCCGTGGAGGCAGCACAGGGGCCAGGGCCTGTCCCCGTGCCATGGTTGGCGGACACGGTCACTCTGGTCCTTGTTGGACTTCTGCTCAGTGGTTTTCATGGGCTGTGCCAAGCGACTCTTCCTTCTGCTCCCATCCTTGCTCGGCTCAATGCCACCTGCAATGCCTTGGATTTTTGCTTGCATCTTAGATCTTCTTTTTTTTTTTTCCTTCTCCTCCTCCTTGATGTCTAGCAGAGCTAGCCAGTCTGGCTGGGGCAGAAAATAGGGTGGGGAAAACGGGGTGGCCGCGAGAATGGAGAAAGGAAGGGGGGCCGGCCCAGGATCCCCGTGTCGCTGGTCCTGCTGCTGTCAGGGAGAGGACTGTTGCTTGGTTTGAGGCGAGGGACAATCATCTCTCCCTCAGTCCTTTTGTAGCACAAAAAAAAGCCCAGCCTGTGGATTTGTGCTCAGATAGCTCTTGCTGGGGGACCAACGGGATGGCTGTTGGACCCCAGCTGGGACAAGGAGGAGCTCGGGGGCTCTCACAGCATGTGTCTTGACTGTGATCCGAACACATTGACTAGCTTAATAAAATACAAGATGTTTGTACCTCTTCTTTCGTGGTGATTCGTAGCCCAGCCCGTGTTTCTCCTACACAGCTCCAGAGACGGGTACATTTTTGATATGTGAATCCACCCTCAAAGGTATGCTTTGCTGACCAAACTTTCTGCTTTTCAGAAAAAAAAGCTTTGCCATTCCCAACCCCTTTGAATGTTACCTGTCTCGGGTGAAGGAAGGCAGAGCCTTGGTTTGCTTTTGATTTGATAGGATGAAATGTAGGTGGGTCCCTTCCTTATCCCTGTAACAGGAATAGTATTTCCTTTGTTCTTTTCCCCTTTGCTCACTGCCTTTGTGGCTCAGGATGAGTTTGTCCTCTTGCCAGGACTCTGCATGTTGCTGCCCACAGGAGCATCCCCAACGCCGGCAACGTTGGGATCAGCGGAAATAACCACCGTGGTTATTGGGCGGCTTCTCAGCTCGGTTTTAAAAGGGGGTTTGGAAAGTATACATTTTTAAAAATGTGCAACTTTTAAGTGTTAATTTGAAGTGCCTTTAAGAGGCTTGGTTTCAGGGCCAGAGCTGGGTAGCACACTTGAAGTCAGGCTCTGAGGGTCCAGGCCAGGCACTGGTGACTAGGGAAGCCGCAGGGCGGTGTTTTATAGGGGAGGAAGAAAAAAAAAGTCTTCCATTCCCTGTATTCATTCACACCAAAGCTCCTCTATTTGCTCTGCTAGTGGAAAGTATTGAGCCAGGCACCGATATAATTTCCTCTCCCTCTCCAGTTCTTCGGAGGCTGCCAGCAGTGGGAATGTCGGAGAGGGAGGTTGTGAAAAGGCGAATCCGGCTTTCAGTCCCTAGCGGAACAATAAGCTGTGGGCAACCTCTTCCCACGGGGCGAGATGTGCCTTGCGTCCCAATGCCGCTGCCTGCAGTGGCACAAAAGGGACCTGTCACTGCCGGCTCTGTCCCCTCCAAAGGGGCTGGAAATGCCTCTTGCGGCTCGAGAGGGCTGTGCCAAGATGCTGCCCAGCATTAATGGCCCTGGCGGGGGCTGCGGCTGCGCTACCTGCCCTGTTAACAAACTCTCTGTGCCTCTGTTTTCAGTCGGCGTAGGCACCAGCGTAGGCTGCAAGGGGTGCCCCAGCGGTGTGGGTCTGGCCCACACCCCTCGCGCTGGAAATGAACCGAGGGGTTTTCTCCCACAAAATTGAAGCGGGACAAAAGCCTTACAACGCTGATCAAGAGCTGGGACTCCTGGTCCTGCTCATTGGGGTGCCAAGTTCTCAGAAAGCTGCAGGAGCCTCCCCCTCTCCAGTCCCGCTCACCAGCCATTCCCCTCCCTCTCCGCACCTCCGCTTCCCACCTCTCCCTGCACAGAGATGTGATTTCCCTGCCCCCCGGTACATCCCCACCCAGGGTTTGCTGTGCTTCACGCAGGTTGTTTTGGAGGGGCTTTTCAGCACCGGGGCCTGCATCCCTGTGTAGATACGGCAGGTCCCTTTGCAGGCAGGCAATGAGGCCCCAAACCCTCCCACCGCCCTCCTGGCAACGCTGACCGGAGAAATGCGGCTTCCCCTTGGCTGGGGCTGCTGGTGCACCAGAGCCCTGTATACAGATCAGCCCCACGCCTGCGGCTCTTCCTACCGAGCACGGTGGATTTGAGCTGCTTGTCCTGGGGCGCTGTGGCTCCCCGTGCTGTGCCCAGCACCCACGGCTGAGCTGGGAACATGAGCCTTCCGGGGGTAAATAAATCCCCAAAGACGGGGGCTTTGAAAGCATCAATCCCGCTCACAGTTCGACCCTCCACCTCCTGAACAGTGACTGCATCCAACGGCAGCGTGGACGCCTCTGCTGGCATTTGCTCCCACGGACTGAGCCTGAGCCACCTCCAGCCCTCCTTGTGCCAGCGGGACACGGTCAGGTCAGTTGGGGATGTTTTCCCAAACTTGCTTTTGCTTTCTCCACCTCTCTCCATCTCCCAGATCCCATCTGCAGCACTCGTGGAACCCCGTGGTGTAACCTGGCTGCTGTTTGCTGTGGGTCCCTATGTGGACCTGGCTCCATCACGCACCCCAGCTCTCCCAGCCGAAGAGCTCGTTGGCATTTCAAGTCTGATGCCCGGAGCCACTTTCCAATAGTCCCTCCACTGATGGAGGTGCATGTGCCCCTCCGGCAGCACACTGGAGGCAAACCCCACCCACGTACAGTGAGGAGTCTTGCATCCAGGGGGGATTTTGGGGGGGGATTTCAGCCAAAGCAGGCAGCGAGGCCCGTGGCAAGGCAGGCGGCGTGTCCAGCACAAAGCTCTCTTTGAGCCGCTGCAGAGAGGCCCCGACTGCCCTTTCCGCCAATGAGCAGGAGCTGCCAGGGAGGGACCCGTTGGCCGCTCTCCACCACCACAGCCCGGGGAGGCAGCCGGGGAGAAGGGCAGCAAGCGGCAGTGGTGGGGCCGAGTCCCCCCGGCCTGCGGTGGCAAGGAGGGGGCTCCACGGGGCGGCTGGAGAGAGGGGACGCCCAGCACGGCATCGCCCACCATCATCCCACCAGTGCTCCTCGCTGGCTCCGCGCTCCTGCTCCTGCTCCACGCAGGGTGGTGGGAGGTGTCTCCGGATGCTTTCGGGTTGTTTGGTTTTCTTCCTTTTTCTCCCCCCCTTCTAAACCACTGGGTGAGTTTTGGGCTGGGGGGTGGGTGGGGACACTCAGGACTCCCCTCGTGCTTTCCCTGTGCCGTGCCTCAGTTTCCCCACTGGGGAAACACTTCCCCAGCCGCCCAGTTCAGTGTCCAGCTTCATCCTGGCCCCTGCGTAACACAACCTCTCTGGCTGGGCCAGGGCTCGGGGAGCCTGCAAGGCGTCCATGGGGCTTTTCCCCCTCTGTGGTGGCCTGGTCCTAAGCCTGCGTCTACCAGGGACATCCCCAGAGCAGGTAAACAGGGTTGTGAGCCACCACGGGGAGGGGGGATGTGGTGGGACAGGGGACGAGGGCAGGGTCTGGCTCTTTCCTGCAACCCCCCC